AGGGCAGGGCCCTTGGGGAGGTTATGGCTCTACCCCATCACACACAGAGCAGGGCCCGTGGGGGCGGGGGGAGGTTGGGGCGCCGCACCCTGTCACACACAGAGCCGCAGGGCGATCAGGGGGTTGGGGAGCTCCCCCCTATCAGGCACAGAGCAGGGCTGATCAGGGGGTTGGGGCGCCTTCCCCTGTCACGAACAGAGCAGGGCGGATAGGGAGGTTGTGGCCCCGCCCCCTGTCACACACAGAGCCGCAGGGCGATCAGGGGGTTTGGGCGCTGCCCCCGTCACGCTGATCCCGGTGCCGGGAGGCCTCGCGGCTCCGCTGATCCCGGTGCTGGGAGGCATATTACCCTTTTACTATATAGGATAGAGGCCTAGTGCACAGGTGGGGGCCGGCTGGTTTGCCCTGAAGGGTGTCCTGGATCAGGGTGGGGGTCCCGCTTGGGTGCCTGGACAGCCTGGGTGAGGGGCTGATGGCTGTTTGCAGCTGGTCACACCCCCTTCAGGGTGGGGTTCCCCACTGGGGTGCCTGGCCAGTCTGGGTGAGGGGCTGAGGGCTGTTTTTAGGCTGGCGGGTGACTGAAGCTCCCAACCGCTCCTTTTTTTTCTTTTTTTTTTTATTCTGGGCCAGCTTTAGCTCTGAGGCTTGGCTCCAGCTCTGAGGCCTCGGCTGCTGAAAGCAGGTATCTGGTTTGTTTGGGTTCTATAATCGAAACACTGTTTCAACTCCAGCTCTGAGATCCCAGCTGGCTGAAAGCAGGTTTCTGGGGTTTTGTTTAGCTTCTATATTTGTAACAATGTTTCAGACTGCAAGCTCAGAGGCCAGCAGCGGCAGGCGGGGAACGTTGGCTTCCTCCTTCACTGAAGCAAGCAAGCCTCATGTTCGCTTCAAGCTGCCTGGCTGCCGGCCGCCATCTTGGCTGGCAGTTAATTTGCATATCGCCCTGATTAGCCAATGGGAAGGGTAGTGGAGGTACGGCTAATTACCATGTTTCTCTTTTATTAGATAGGACTAGGGGCCCAGTGCACGAATTCGTTCACCTTGAAAGGAACTGTCGGCTGTGAGGTTGTGGTGGACACAGGGGCCCATCCTCCGCACCCCTGCCTGGCCCCTCCCGCTGCGGCCCCTGGTTCCCTGTCTGCTGGCAGCCCTGCTCCCGCTGACGGCGCAGAGCGATTGGGGCCGGTGCCAGCAGCGGGTGCAAGTGGCGGCTGCTGCCCCGATCGCCCCTCAGGAGCGGCGGGGTTGGGGGGGCGGATGGAGAAGCCCTCAAAGGCAATCCGAGCCAGCAGCCACCACTCATATCTGCTGACCGTGCCGAGCAGTCAGACCTGCGCCAGGTACTGGCAGTGGGTGCAAGTGGGGCTGGCGCCGGCAGTGGGTGTGAATGGCAGCTCCAGTGCCGGCAGCAGGTGCAAGCAGGACTGTCGCTGGCAGCGGGTGCAAGCGCCGGGCGGGACTGTGGCACATGGGAGCAAAGAATTTTCAGTAACCACCAGAAGCTCACCCTGATGACAGTGACCGGCACCCCGCCTTGGTCTGACACCCCCGCTCACCTGCTCCACCATCCTGCCATGGCTGACGCCTGCCATGTTCCTGGTGGTTAGTGCACGACATAGCAACCAGTTGTTCGGTTGTTCTGCAGTTCAGTCTATTTGCATATTAGGGTTTTAGATATATAGATATATAGATAGATTAGTGTGGAACACCAGTAAGAATATATAAGTTAACCATTAATTCTCTTACCCAGAAATAACCACTGATGGTTTCTTATGAATATTCTTAGTACTCGTGTACACATGTGAATATACATTTAGAAAGTAAATGAATTGATGTATCTTTTTTTTAAAATATATTTTATTGATTTTTTACAGAGAGGAAGGGAGAGAGATAGAGAGTTAGAAACATCGATGAGAGAGAAGCATCGATCAGCTGCCTCCTGCACATCTCCTACTGGGGATGTGCCCGCAACCCAGATACATGCCCTTGACCAGAATCGAACCTGGGACCTTTCAGTCCGCAGGCCGATGCTCTATCCACTGAGCCAAACCGGTTTTGGTGAATTGATATATCTGGATCTCCTCCCATTTATAGTGTGCCACTGCTCAGTTCTACAGCTTTACTTACTTTGTCCCATGTCCATCTGTCATTTCTCATCAGGTGTCCATCAGTCAGGGAATATTGACACTTAGCATTGTCAGCTATGTCTCTCATTCTCAGCCTTCTCTGTCTGGGTCTTTGAAGGTAGATACTCAAAATCCTACCCCCAAGTTGCCTGCCTCACCCTTGGTGAGACTTGTTCCAAAGAGCTAGGAATATAGAGCAAGGGAGAAGACTTTTTCTTGGATACTTTTCTTTCTTTTTTTTTTTTTTATATTTTATTGATTTTTTACAGCTGCCTCCTGCACACTCCCTACTGGGGATGTCCCCGCAACCAAGGTACATGCCCTTGACCGGAATTGAACCTGGGACCCTTGGGTCCGCAGGCTGACGCTCTATCCACTGAGCCAAACCGGTTAGGGCCTGGATACTTTTCACAAATGCATCACACTTGATACATTTTTCTTTTATGTGTTGCTTAATTGCTTAACAGAAATGTAATTTTAGGTTAATATATAGGTACGGAATAATACTGGATTGGTTTTTCTTTTAAATAAATGTTCTTAGGTGAATACCATTAATTTTCTGATAGAAATAACTTTTTAGAAGTGTTATTTATGTACTGTATATATTTAATTCATGAGAACTAATGATACTTAGGTTTGTCACAGTTTTATTATGTCTTATAAGCAATTGATAAGATATTTTCTCTCCCTTTTCTTTTTTCTGTAAAATTTTATTTTAGCAACAACCAACTCAGTTTATAAATCCAGAAACACCTGGCTATGTTGGATTTGCAAATCTTCCTAACCAAGTTCACCGAAAATCAGTGAAAAAAGGTTTTGAGTTCACACTAATGGTGGTCGGTAAGAAATTAGCTTTTATTTTCAAGCTTATTAAATATGTGGCTATCTGCCTTCCCAACCTGTGGAGTGTAATAATAGCATGACTTATAAAGGGAAAATTCCTTTGTTGGCAGAACCAAATAACTTGGGAATTTGGCAGAGGGGGAGGGAGGGGCAAGAATTTTTTAGAAAATTTTGCTTCATAGTAAAATTACAACTTTCCTGTCATTTCTTTATATGTAGTGATAATTTTTACTCATTGTGGCAGCCATCCTCCAAAATGTTGCCCAGTGATCCTTGCCTCCTGGTATTCATGCAGCTCTCTAGTCCCTTCCCATACTGAATAGGGCTTACCTGTGTAGACAGTAGGACATTGCAGAAAGGTAAGTCTGTTACTTCGAGCCTGGGTCACAAAAGACATTGTGCTTGTACCTTCTCTTGGCTCACTCTGAGGGCAGCCAGCCACCATGTTGGGGAGACACTCGAGCAACCTTGTAGCGAAGTCCCACAAGGCAAGGAACTGAGGCCTGCCGGTAGCCATGTAGTGACCTATCTTAGAAATATCCTCTAGCTCCAATTAAACCTGTGGTTACAGCCATCCTGGCTGACATTCACTGTTACTGCATGAGAGACACCCCCTGCCTCCCTCCATAGAATTCCTAACCAAAAACTCCATGAAATAATAATAAATGTTAATTATTGGTTTAGGCCTATGAGTTTTACATGTTAATAGATAACAAACACACATATTTAATGAGAAGTATGTTTCTTTAATACTCAAAAAGACAGCTTCTTACATTTTTGTGGTGGATGTATTTTAAACAAGTAACAGTTCTTCCTATACACATTTTTTAAGTTATTAAAGTCCTTTGAAATTGAATGGTTACTGGAATTATTTTCTGTTATCACATATATTTTTTTCATGGGTATATATTATGTTTCAGCATGACCATTACAAGCTTAACTATCTACTGATGAACTATTAATTCTGTTTACCATATCACATTTCAATCTTGATAACTGTAAAATTCTCCCAAAATGAGGAGGTAGTTTGATGAGTAGTACAAATTATTGTTTCTTCAGGTGAATAGTTCATAAATGAAATGAGAGAAATTGTGGGACCCTTGGTCCAGAGAAGGGAATGATGACATGTTTTAGGATCACAATTACATGATAAAGATAATGCAGATTCAAGCTCCTGGTGGAAGAGAGATTCAGTGTAATCTGTCATGCAGTTGCTACATTTTAAAGCATTCTAAAACAGGCAATAACTTTTGTTTCTTGCCATGATAAAATAATTCACAGGGCCAGATAGTGAATATTTAAGGCTTTGTGAACCATACAGTTTTTGGTGGAGCCATTCAATTCTGCTGTGTTCCAGTGAATCTTCACTTACCAGTAGCGGGCTAGATTTGCACTGAGGTTCATCGTTTGCTGCTCCCTGAAATAACTGCTACCAGACTAGTCAGGGCATGAATAACTAAAGGCTGGTCAAAATACAGCTTCTCTAAGACATTCTGCAATAGGCAGTGTAGGACTTCAGTCTCTAAGAGAAGGAGAACTAATTACATAAAGTGTAAAGTCATTCCAGCTTTCTGGCATGTACCTGGGGAGAGCTAAGTTGGTCAGAGCACAAGAGTCTCAGAGCTGAAGGACTGATCACCATTGAGTGAACCTGAGTACCTGGATCCTCAGTTAGCATAGCAGAGTTCCAAAGACAGCCAGGCCTCCAGAAATCTTCATGGGGTTCCCTTGGACACTGGCTGACACTGAAATTCCACAAGGCTCGGCAAAATGTAACCACAAAGGGAGTGAGCTGAACTGGAGACCACATGGAGTTGGAAAGCTGAAATGGGGTCAGGAGACATTAGAATTTCAGCCAAGCAGAGGGGATATCACTGAACATTTAGGGCACTTAGAATGCTGGCCTTCAGAGGCCTTCGGGAAAGGCCCTTGTTACACACTGAGGAAGTCGTGTCTTGTGTTGGTTAAAATCAAAAGTAAATGTGAATAAAAACTTCCCCAGGTTAGGAATATTATTTCCTACCATTCCTGGCTTGGCCTAAGTTTTTGTTTTTTGGGTGTTGTTGTTTTTTTTTTTTAGCCTGGGTTTAAAAAATAAAACCTCAGCCCTGGCAGGGTGGCTCACAGTTGGTTGGAGCGTTGCAGGTTCGATCCTTGGTCAGGGCATGTACGGGAGACAACTGATCAGTTTCTTTATCTCCCCCCCCCCCCTTTCCTCTCTCTAAAATTAATAAAAACATCCTTGGGTGAGGATTAAAACAACAACCTCAGATTAAAATCTGAAGCCTCTGACAGTTTGCCTGATGGGATCTCAGTGGAGTTGTAAAAGCACGTGCCACTTTTCTCTCATCTTGTGGCGCCACCTTGTGCCTGGTGCTGCATATTTTCTTCTAAAAGGTGCTAACGAGCCATTTTGTAAACTGAATACCACCATCCCAACCAGTCTTTGTTGTCACTACTTTTACAGGTTAATTTAATTAAGACTGTGGACCCAGTATGTTTCATGTAAAATTTTTGGACGGTGATGCCTTTACACTGGTGGAGATCTCTTGTGTGTGTTTCCCCCATTTAAAGGGAGAAACTACCCACTATAGGAAAGAGATCAGTGGCAGTGGAGCAGAGCAGATCTGGGCACTCCGAATTTAGCTCAAGGACAGCATCATGTTCTGAGTTAGCAGATTATTTGTAGATGTTACCCTAAAGCTATCCTAAGTGAAATAATCACTTATACCCTTAAAATTAAGATTTAGAAGCAGCCACCAGGATTTTAGTACTGCTTTTTAAAAGAGGCTGCTTCTACTCCGACACTTGTGCTCAGATGTCTTCTGCATGATAGCCCCTTTCAGCTGTCATGAGTCATCAGGTGATAGAGAGTAACTTTGTCATCTGCCCCACTGGATTGCAAAGCTCCATGAAGCAGGGACTTGTCTGCCCTGTTTTCTGTTGTGTACTAGCACCCACACCTCTGCTAGGGACTCAGAAAGGATTTAGTACATATTGATCAGGCCCCCTTAGAGCATGGTAAAGATATAGTGGATTGCTGGAAAGTTTATTAAAAGGATAACTTGAGCCCTAACCGGTTTGGCTCAGTGGATAGAGCATCAGCCTGCAGACTGAAGGGTCCCAGGTTCGATTCCGGTCAAGGGCATGTACCTTGGTTGCAGGCTCATCCCCAGTAGGGGGTGTGCAGGAGGCAGCTGATCGATGCTTCTCTCTCATCGATATTTCTAACTCTCTATCCCTCTCCCTTCCTCTGTGTAAAAAATCAATAAAATATATTTTTTTAAAAAAAGAAAAAAGGATAACTTGATGGGATAGTATGCGTTTAGTCACATTTTTTATGCTCCTATATTGGGACAGGTTCAACATGTAATTCTAGTTTTGTCCTTTTGATGTTCCTTTTCATCTGTGAAAATTAAAGTCTAATTGAAGTTCAGTCCTAATTTCTATGTTTGCACATTTCACATTCACTCTTGTGTTCTTGATTTTGTCAACAACAATGATTTTTAAAACATGTGCTCCTTCCACATGTCCTATGGGACTTAGCAGGGGGAGGTTCAAACCCAGATGCCTGAGAGACAGTCAGGCACCGAGTTCAGAAGCACTTCTCTGTACAAATTAAGCTGTAGCTGATAACCTAACCATGAAGTGATGGAATCTGTTCATGCTTCCTTCAAATATAAGATTTAATGTTCGGTATTTTGCAAATCTTTGAAGTTAAATTTAAAACATTCAGAATATGTAGTTGAAGAGGGATTCTTAACTCCTTAAATGCTAGAATGAATACATATCGCCCATCTTTGTCATGTTACACTCAACAGTGTGGGGGGGAAGTTACCTTGACATAGGCAATTGCCAGTTTGGGACATGGAGGTGTTTAAAACAGGAAGCAGGGAGGGGACTGGCTCCCTCCTTGGCGGGGGTGGGGGGGTGGGGGGGGGGTGGAGGGATTGCAGCAAGTCAAAGTATATAAGGATCTCCGTTTCTGTCCCGTTCCCACAGCTTAGGAGGTGAGTGCTGTTGACATCGATGGGGAGATATGTTCAGTTTTCTGAAAATGTGACACATTAAATGATTGGCAAACTCATGATTGAAAACCTACTTTGCATTCTATTAAAATATAAAGACCCCCTCCAGAGTTCATTCCACACATTTGTTAAGAGGTGAGATCACATTTCTGATCTCACAGTGTATGAATTCTGGAGCCCCACACACTGGATTCAAATTGAGGCCCTGCTCTGGGTGGGTGTCTGACCTGTGAGCATCCATCTCCCCATCAGTAAATTGGGAGAGTTGTACCAAATTCATAGTTGTCGTACGGAGTCCAGAAAATGATGTTTGTGGGGCATTTAGCCCAGTGCCAGGCCTAGCATAAACTCTCAGCAGATGGTCATCCGGATAATATCATGATGATGCCTTCCTTTTTGTTTAAAGGTGAATCGGGGCTAGGAAAATCGACTCTTATAAACAGCCTGTTCTTGACGGATCTTTACCCAGAAAGAATCATACCTGGAGCTGCAGGTACAAAAATTCATACACTCCTAAGTGTAATTTACCATGGAAGTTGTGTAAGAGTGCATAATTAATATTTGATGCCTGGGCCTTGAGTTTTTGCTTTTGTTTGGCTGTAAACACAAGGAAAATGTCATTTAGGTAAGGAAGAGTGTGCTGCACCTTGGTCCTTGGATTCAGGTTGTAGACTGACAGCATATCCGTGAATCCATCCTCTCCAAGTTTGTTGTCTATAAAGTCTATACAGTATCATAAATTGTTCTTGCCTATGTTCTCTGTGTGATGGGAGGATCAAGTGACAGTGTTATCTCTTGTGGAAAAAAGCTCTGTAGCTAGTAGGCTACTGTGGGGGTCAGGGGTTCTGAGTGTTCCCAATGCAGGACACGTGTCTGTGAATGCTGATTAAGTGAATGGATTAAGCACAGATAGATCCTAGGACCTGAGCTACCACAATGGAGACATATAGCCCTGTCATTGAATTCAATTTTAAAGGAATTCATAAATTGTTTTCTTTGTCCCAGGAAAAGAAATTAAAATTTTCAATATTGGCATTTTTACCTTCCTGGGCAGCCCTTTAATCTTAGCTTCAACACTTCCCTTGCTTACACTGGAATCATTTTTACACAATCCTCATATTACCTTTTGGAAACCTTCCTCAGAGAGGTTGTGGCTTTCAGGTCATTTGATAATAAGTAACTAATAGATAATTTCATCTCTTTGCAAACAGGCTCAATGTTAAGGCACATTCTCTTACTAAGTTTGTTTCTTTTCTAGAGAAAATTGAAAGAACAGTCCAAATTGAGGCTTCTACTGTTGAGATTGAAGAGCGAGGGGTCAAGCTGCGCCTGACGGTGGTGGACACACCCGGCTATGGTGATGCCATCAACTGCAGGGATTGGTACGCACCCCACAGGGATGGGCACCCAGAAGTGTTGAGGGCTGTGCATGTATTAACAGCTGTTTTGCTATATTTTATTTTATTTATTTTTTTCATGATTGCACAGCTTTATTGCTTAGGGTGTGGTTATATGTAGCAAGTATCTAAGGATGTATATATTTTTTTAATAATTCTTTACTGTTGAAAGTATTACATGTGTCCCTTTTTTCCTCCGTTGACCCCCTCTAAAACAGGAAGCAGGGAGGGGACTGGCTCCCCACCGCTCCCCAACCCTCACCTCACCTCAAGCCTTCAGGACTCTATTGTCTGTGTTCATGGGTTATGCATATATGCATACAAGGTCTTTGGTTGATTACCTCCCACCCACCCACCTTCCTCTGAGATTCCACACACTGTTCTATGCTTCCATGTCTCTGGATCCACTCCGTTCATCAGTTTATTTTGTTAGATTCCACATATGAGTGCGATCATGTGATACTTGTCTTTCTCTGACTGACTTATTTCACTTAGCATGATGTTCTCCAGGTCCCTCCATGCTTTCTCAAAGGATAAGAGATTCTTCGTTTTTACTGCTGCATAGTATTCCATGGTATAAATGTACCACAGCTTTTTTATCCACTCATCTACTTATTGTAAATTGTGCTACTATGAACATAGGGGTGCATACATTCTTTCTGATTGGTGTTTCGGGTTTCTTAGGATATACTCCTAGAAGTGGGATCACTGGGTCAAATGGCAGATCCATATTTAATTTTTTGAGGAAACTCCATACTGTTTTCCATAATGGCTGTACCAGTCGGCATTCCCACCTGCTCTGTACTAGGGTTCCCTTTTCTTCACATCCTTGCCAGCCCTTGTCATTTGTTGATGGTAGCCATTCCGACAGGTGTGAGACAGTACCTCACTGTCATTTTGATTTGCATCTCTCAGATGATAGTGATTTTGAGCATTTTTTTCATATGTCTCTTGGCCATCTGTATGTCCTCTTTGGAGAAGTGTCTATTTAGGTCCTTTGCCCATTTTTTAATTGGATCGTTTCTCTTCCTTTTGTTAAGTTGTGTGAGTTCCTTATATATTTTGGATATTAACCCTTTATCAGATGTATCATTGCCAAATATGTTCTCCCATGCAGTGGGTTCTCTTTTCGTTTGGTGATGGTTTCTTTTGCTGTGCAGAAGCTTTTTATGTTGATGTAGCCCCTTTTGTATATTTTCTCTTAGTTTCCTTTGCCTTAAGGAGATGTATCTGTAAACATCTTGCTATGAGAGATGTCTTGAGATTTTGCTGCCTATGGTATCTTCTAGGATTTTTATGGCTTCACGACTTACATTTAACTCTTTTATCCCTTTTAAGTTTATTTTTGTGTATGTTGTTAAGTTGATGGTCTAGTTTCATTTTTTTGCATGTATCTGTCCAATTTTCCCAACAACATTTATTGAAGAGACTCTCTTGACTCCATTGTATGCTCTTGCCTCCTTTGTCAAATATTAATTGAGTGTAATGGTTTGGGTCGATTACTGGGTTCTCTGTTCTGTTCCATTGATCTATATGCCTGTTCGTGTACCAGTACCAGGCTGTTTTGATTACCGTGGCTTTGTAGTATAAACTTGAAAACTGGTATTGTGATTTTTCCAACTTTGTTTTTCTTTCTCAAAATTGCTGCAGCTATGCAGGGTCTTTTTGATTCCATATAAATTTTTGGAATATTTGTTCTTGCTCTGTGAAATATTCCATTGGTATTTTAATAGGGATTGCATTGAATCTATAGATTACTTTGTGTAGTATTGCCATTTTAATGATGTTGATTCTACCAATCCATTAACATGGTGTATTCTTCCACTTGTTTATATCTTCTTCTATCTCTTTCATTGTCCTGAAGTTTTCTGAGTATAGGTCCTTTGTCTCCTTGGTTAAGTTTATTCCTAAGTATTTTAATTTTTTTGTTGCAATGGTAAATGGGATTGTTTGTTTAGTTTCTCTTTCTGAGAATTCATTATTGGTGTATAAAAAAAAACCCATCGATTTTTGGGTGTTGATTTTGTATCCTGCTACATTGCCAAATTCATTTATTAAATCTAGTAGTTTTTTGGTGGAGTATTTAGGGTTTTCTATGACTAATATCATGCCATCTGTGAATAATGAGAGTTTTACTTCCTTTTTTCCAATTTGGATGCCTTTTATTTCTTCTTGTCTGATCACTGTGGCTAGGACTTCCAGTACTATGTTGAATAAGAGTGGTGAAAGTGGACATCCCTGTCTTGTTCCTGTTCTTAGGGGAAATGCTTTTAGTTTTTGTCCATTGAGTATAATGTTGGCTGTAGGTTTGTCATATATGGCCTTTATCATATTGAAATATGCTCCTTCTATTCCCACTTTGCTGAGAGTTTTTATCAAAAATGGGTGTTGGATTTTTTCAAATGCTTTTTCTGCACCTATTGATATGATCATGTGATTTTTGTCTTTCAATTTGTTTATGTGATGTATCTCATTTATTAATTTGCAAATATTGTACCAGCCTTGCATCCCTGGAATAAATCCCACTTGGTCGTGGTGTATGATTTTTTTAATATATTGCTGGATGCAATTTGCTAATATTTTGTTGAGGATTTTAGCATCTATGTTCACCAGGGATATTGGCCTGTAATTCTCTTTCTTTATAGTATCTTTATCTGGTTTTGGAATTAGGATAATGCTGGACTCATAAAAAGAATTTGGAAGTGTTCCTTCCTCTTGGATTTTCTGAAATAGTTTGAGGAGTATAGGTGTTAGTTCTTCTTTGAATGTTTGGTAAACTCCCCTGTGAAGCCATCGGGACCTGGGCTTTTGTTTGCTGGGAGTTTTTTGTTGTCATTGGCCTATACAGGCTTTCTGATTCCTCCTGATTCAGTTTTAGGAGATTGTATTTTTCTAGGAATTTGTCCATTTCATCCACTTTGTCCAGCTTATTCATAGTATTTTCTTATAATCCTTTGTATTTCTGTGGTGTCAGTGGTTACTTCTCCACTTTCGTTTGTTTTGCTATATTTAAATGTATAGTGCTGAGTGATTATTGGATATGGAGTAACTGGATATGGTAAAATAATGGGACAATTTTTATTTTTATTTTTTGGTTAATCCTCACCTGAGGATATTTTTTCCATTGAATTTTAGGGAGGGAGGATGGGAGGGAAATCAGTGTGTGAAAGAGACATATTCACTGGGCCTCCATCAAAGCTGCAACCCAGGTACATGCCCTTGACTGGGAATCGAACCCTTGACGCTTTGATGCGTGCCTGACACTCTAACCACAGAGAAAACTGGCCAGGGAATTAATAGGACAATTTAAGGCACATTAATTAGGATATTTTAAATTAGAAATTTCACAGAGAATGAGGGTTTTTTCCCTCTTAAGAACATTCTAGTGAGATCTGAGATTGTAGAGTCAACCCTCTATCCTGATTGGAGCTGTAACCAGTGGACACGATATTGGGGTCCAGTGTTCCTCTGGAACTCTCTCAGTCACTCAAGACCCAGTGCCTGAAAATGGCTGCTCATTGGCATTTGCACCAATTGGGAAATGCACAAGTAGAAAATGAGAGCAGTCTTGCCAGGATCCTGCTGAGGATCCCTTTTCATGTACGGAGGCCCCTGGTCCTTCCCAGGAGCATAAAGCATCAATGCCCAACACTAGGTAGAAGAGGGAGGACAGGGAGGCCTCTCCCCTTCATTGGGAACAGCCCCTCCTGCAGGTCGGCCTTGGCATTGTGGCTGCGCTGCTTACCATCTCCACATCTCCACTGCCTGCTCCTGCCGTGTTCTGCTGCTGCTACCACGCCCCTTAAAAGCATTGGCAGCCCAGGCTCTTATAACCTCTTCCATTCTGACTTTTGACCCCTGGCCCTTAGCTCTTGGCACAGTTTCCAGATATATACATCTTGCCAAATGGAGGAGTCAGTTTCCATTTCCATCTTACAGATGAGTTACAAAATTATATTTGGGAGGTGGGGCACAGGGGACAAGAAAACTTGCTTTGTTTCTGAAGTTGGGTCTGCCTGCCTGCCTTTTGTACCCTTGACCCTCAATGTGTGTGTGTCTCAGCTTCAAGACCATCATCTCCTACATTGACGAGCAGTTCGAGCGGTACCTACATGATGAGAGCGGCCTCAACCGACGGCACATCGTGGACAACAGGGTACACTGCTGCTTCTATTTCATCTCGCCCTTTGGACATGGACTTAAGCCCTTAGATGTCGCGTTTATGAAGGCGATACACAACAAGGTCAATATTGTGCCTGTCATTGCGAAAGCTGATACCCTCACTCTGAAGGAACGGGAACGTTTGAAGAAAAGGGTGAGTGACTGTGGGGCAGGCAGCAAAGTGTGATGGAGGTGTGGGGCAGTTTTAACCAGCACCCAATACTTCTAATTTTTTAGTATTTTTCCTTCACAAAGGTATCGAATTACTACTGTTTCTTATAACTCACCTTAGGTGAACTTCCCCTCAGTGCCTAGAAGATGGCTAATGTGCAGTCACGTTTCATGGTCGGTAACAATGTGCATTGGGTGGGAGGATCTCCCTGAGGTTCTCTGTTCCACACTGATTTCCCTCCCATCCTCCCTCCCTAAAATCCACTGTAACCCCCACATTTTTCTGGGAACGTGTACTAATGATGATAGTCTGGTGTCAGAAGGCTGAGAGGCCTGCATTTAGCTGTGGAGGTTGCACAGCGGTCCTCCAGCTCCTGAGCTGGCTGTGGTCTCTGTTCTCCCATAGAGCTTCAGTTACCTGTTTAAATTACATACCTGTTTGTATGCTTATTGAGAATTCCAAGCTCGTATGCTATATTCTACAAATAAGAATTCCTTTAATTATCCTCAAAAATAACCACTATTAACAGGTATCTGTCCTTCTAGAACAGCGGTTCTCAACCTGTGAGTTGCGACCCCTTTGGCGGTCGAACGACCCTTTCACAGGGGTCGCCTAAGACCATCCTGCATATCAGATATTTACATTACGATTCATAACATTAGCAACATGACAGTTATGAAGTAGCAACGAAAATAATTTTATGGTTGGGTCACAACATGAGGAACTGTATTTAAAGGGCCAGAAGGTTGAGAACCACTGTTCTAGAACATGGTCTCTTTATGTTTTTGTTTTTACAGAATAGGATTATGTCATACCTATGATTCTGCCACTTGACTTTCTAAGTCTTACGCAGAAAGCACGCCTCTCACCCTTATCTATGGCATGCATAGTGTTCTTCAGTGTGTTTCTGGGTCTTCCCATCCACTCCCTAGTCCCTGACATTGGGATCTTTGCTTGCTTGTGTATTCCAAAAGTTTGGAACAGGACCTGGCACGTGTTAGACACTCAGAAATGTTTATGTGTTGAACAGTTGTCCACATCTGTCATCTCACAGTTGTAAAGTCAGACAAATTCTTGAAAAGGAAATTAATGCATGTTTAAATACTTGAAAGATGGCTAAATTTTCCTCAAAATAAGCTTGTTCTCAAAGCAGCATTCAAGCACGCTCTTCTCTCCCCGACATTCCTGATGTATCACCAGTTTTTGTCATGTGTTTCCTCCTGCTCAATGCCCTTGGCATTCTCTTAGGTTTTAGAGACTTGCCTCTCTTTTCATTGAGTTACAGATATTCTTGTTTTTAGACTTTTATGTCGGAGTCTGAGTTTTGTGTGTTCACATTTTTCTGGCTGTCTTTTCCATAGCAGAGTTTCTAAATTGTATATACTCATATTTCTCAACTGTACCCTTTACTGTCTCAGGAGGCTGCCAATATTTTAGGAAATATTCAGGCCCTTGAAGGAACCCCTGAAAGCTTAGGCATTTTTATATGTTATAGTCAGTATTTTAGCACTTCCACTTAAGGAAACTTCACCTTCTGTAGGGTGTTACATTCCATTTCAGAGAGGTAGGGGAAAGAGGTACCCAGGGTAGCATGCTTTATACCCATCTCATCTTATACTCAAAACACTTAGTGCTTGATCTCAAACTCTGAAATGAATTGAAATACTTGGTGCACTGATCTCTTTTATCTTGGGCCTTTTTAACCCCTTCTCTTTACTCCTCCCTGATCTAAAGGAACCTCTCAAACCTCTCCCACCCTCCTTTGTTTTATGCGTTGGTGTCCATCTACCCTCTCCTAATCCCTTTAACTTGGGGCTCACCTGTCCAGCTGCAAATAATGTTTTCAATGGAAGGTCTACATTAAGAACAAATCCCACCTGTCTGGGTTCCTATGGTAGGCAACCAGTAGATTTGTCTCTCACATCGATGTTTTTCTCTCTCTCCCCCTCCCTCCCTCCCACTCTCTCTATAAATCAATGGAAAAAATATCCTCGGGTGAGGATTAACCAAAAAAAAAAAAGGAAGAACAAATCTGGGAGCAGGGTTTGAGGTGGGTGTTCCCTGCTGGCTTGGATTATGTTCTCTCTTCCCTTGGGCTGTCGGGCATAAGAAACATCCAAACTGTAGAGAATTTTTATGAGTTTATTTTTGCAGCTTCTCTTATGTATTTGGAATTAAGGAGGGAACACAAGATTACATGAGGGTGGGCAAGAGCAAGGCAGTGATCAGATTACAGGATATACTTTAGACATACGGGTCTGCAGGGGGGCATTTCAAAGGTGTGTTCACCTAGGAACAATGGACAGAGCTAGCTTAAACTGAAGATAAACCTTTCACTAAGTTAAGTTGTATGCCTGGGTTGTGACTATCCACCATGACTTGCCCAGTTAGGAATGTTATGGGTTCACTCAGCGAGATAGACCACCGACACAGAATTCAAATTTAACCCTTTGCACTCCGAACCATTCTGGACATTGGCTACCAGCTACTCGACGCTACTTTGCGGCGGAAACGTGCATTTACAAACCCTCGTATTATTTAGTATAATTTTGGAACCAAGTAACGTATTATAATGATATTGGACTTATATGAATTGGGTGACATCGAGGAATGTATATTTGCAAAAAAAACAATATTTTATTGTTTATAATTTTGTACAGTATGATAAGTTTTGTAACACTCCCCAATATGCATTGCAGGCTGATTAGTGCATGTTTGACAGTAATAAGTGGTTTGACGCCTGCCACCAGGTGTTTTCCTGTTAGAACACACAATGCAGTCCCGTTTTCTTTGTCCCACATCGGGAATATGTAGTTTATTGTTTAATCCGACACAAAACCCGCTGGCATTTCTTGTATATATCTTAGTAATTTTACGATATTTTGATTTAATTTCTTGTGCCATTTCAAGATAAAACTTCAGGGAAACATGCATGTCTCAAAAAGTTGCGTTGAAATAACTCACTTCCCCGTAATCACTAATAAACTGCAATGTCCCCTGAGAGGGGACATCCGAGTGATATGCTAGAATTCCGATGTCCCCTGAGAGGGGACAGCGGAGTGCAAAGAGTTAAGAGCCTTTATTAAGCTGGCCAGCTGACTACAGTTACAGCACCCTGCCGAAGCAGAGGGCTAAACTGCAGCCCAGACTACTACAGGAGTTACATTTTATTATTAACTTTTGTGGAGGCCCAGAGACAAATGTGTCTTTCAAATTCTGGGCCCCCCATTATGGAGGAAACTCTCTTTATTTATACTTTTTCCAGTCCTTTGTCTCCCAAATTTGGAATGAGACTTCTGGGCCTTCTGAGAAAGAAGGCCTGCGTGCTGGGAAGGGGCCATGAGACCATATCTCAAGGCCTGGCCTGATGTCAGTACCTTCCTATCTGTGTGTTTTAGGAACAGACAGCACAGCATGACCCATCTGGCCAAAGCGCCAGATATGCAGCCCAGCACAGGAATTTATGACTAGGTCACCCTGTGAGCTTACTTTCCATAGAACCCCTTTTTCCATCCACAATGCCCAAGTCTTGGTGTGAGAATAAGCAGAGCTCCAGCCTTCCTCATACCTTATGGAGTGCCCAGCATATAGACAGATGAATGACTGCTTACCCCAACTCCAGCCTTGTTTTCCCTTCCCTCTTAGTGGTCTGCTCCCTGGTTGACAGTGTAGAGTGTGAGGTTTCCCTGGAGGCCACTTTTTGCCTATTGAGTAAAAGTCTGGATCCCAGATCTCAGACCCTGGCCTGGCATTCTGGGGATTCGCCCCTTGGTAACCCCAGGGGTTCTTCTGACTTACCCAACTCATTGTCCTGTGTTCCGCCATCCTAGATTTCTTGTAATTACCAAACGGACTTCCTGTGTTCTTCCCTCGTGGTTTTGACAGATTTTCCCCAGGTGCCTCTCCCCCTCCTCATGAGACTCCTTTGTGTTCTTCAGGAACCCTTTAGGCAACACCTGTGGCTCTTCTCTACTGGCAGCATCTGTCTGTGCCTCTCCTCAGGCACTTGTCGTTCTGGCCACGTTGGGGGTTGGGGGGAGGGTGTACATGGACATTGGTGGTATATTGTGTTACTATGGACAGAGGTCCCTCCAAATACTTAAATACCATTTTAGCAGTTCATGAAAGCTTTGAAAATAATTGTCATAATCCATTTTATTTTTTATTGAAGTTTGGGTAATTCTGATGTATTTCCCAATACAATGAGTTAGGCTTGACTAAAATTTGTGCGGTTTGTTAAAATTGCTTCTGATTTTGTCATTCTTTCAGATTCTGGATGAAATTGAAGAACATAACATCAAAATCTATCACTTACCTGATGCAGAATCAGATGAAGATGAAGATTTTAAAGAGCAGACCAGACTTCTCAAGGTAAGAATTCCAGATGCACAGAGTGACTAACTCCTGTTTCCTGCTGTCCGCATTCAAAATGGGAGGAGTTGGTGAAGAACCAGATCCTGGAGCCTTGACTTAGAGAAGTTGTCTGGGAATTGTGACCTAACTGTCACTGTAAGGCTTAGAAATCTTAATTGCAGCTTTAATTTGTTCGTGCAGTTTGTCCTGTGTGGAAGATGCCTGCCACTTCCAAGTAAAGTGTGCACCATAAGCTTTCCAAGTAATCCTGTGGTAGCAGCCAAGTGTCCCCTCTGTGTTGATGCTCCTGTGTTTGCGGTGAATGTGCCAGTCCCTGTGTGGAGCCTGTCAACCCTGTGTGTCTCTTTCTAGGCCAGTATCCCGTTCTCTGTGGTTGGATCCAATCAGCTGATAGAAGCCAAAGGCAAGAAGGTCCGAGGCCGCCTCTATCCGTGGGGTGTCGTGGAAGTGGAGAACCCAGAACACAACGACTTTCTGAAGCTGAGGACAATGCTCATGTAAGACAGTCATGCACTACAGTTGGCAGAGCCCAGCACAGAGAGTGTGGGATGTGCATGGGACTTCCATTGTGCCTGCAGTGGGCTTGCCGCAGCATGGTACAGAAGGCCTGCACCTGCAGGCTCTCTGGAATGATCTGAACTAGCCCTTCCACCTGTGACCTTTAGCTCAGTACTCCTTTCTCATTGAATGCCAGGGTCTCTTTTGAGGCTAAAAGTAGACTAGACTTACTGTGTGGGTGGCCAGTCCCAGCAAGAGTCACCTCCTGCTCCAGGGAGGATGTGTTTGGATCTGCCTTAGGGGCCAGCTGGGGTATGCTGCCACAGCTGGTCAGCCTCAGGCTCTCTCAGGGTCGCCCCCGTTCTATTCCTCTTATTGCAGTGGTTCTCAACCTTGGCTGCACATTAGAATCACCTGGGAATCTTTTTAAAATCCTGATTTCTAGGCCTCATCCTCCGGAAATTTTGTTATGGGGTGAGGCCACAACATTAGTAACAACGAAACAGAATTTCTGGAGGATTAGGCTCAGAAATCAGGATTTTAAAAAGATTCCCAGGTGATTCTAATATGCAGCCAAGGTTGAGAACCACTGCTCTATTGAGTCCTAGCAACTAGGACAGCCCAGACTACAAAAACAGTCTGTTCCTCTAAAAATAGATTCCACATTTAGCAACATACATGTAATGCTGTTGCTCTTGAAGAGGTTGAAAGAAAAAGTATTGCCAAACCTGTTTAATCAGAAGAGTTCAAACAATGGCTAATCTAGATAAACTTTAAATAACTGAAAACTGCTCTACATGCCACATATGTCTCACTTGGGTTAGCAGTTTTAGTGAATTAAAATTACTAAAAAAAATACCATTAAATTTACTATTCAAGCTCTATTAAACGTACTTCAGTCATTTAAAGTGCACCCGGCCCCTTCAGGGGTGGGTTTTCAGCTGTCGTGATCCTGTCAGAGGTGGAGGGTGTGGAGGGCTGAAGAGGGAACTTTGGTGTCAGTTATGTGTTTCTCAGAAAGAGGGAAAATGGGCCACCCCTTTGCCATTACTCAGTCCATTCCCTGGATCCTGAGTAACAGGAATATAATCTCTCTACTCTTTGAGTTCTTACATATTGGAAAAAACTCAGCCAGAAACCCAGGAATGTTCTATACAGTGATTAGAAGATTTGAAGTGCTGTTTCTATTTTATCCAGAATGTTAATACTTCATTTTGTGTTCTTCCCCATAGCTTAAGCTAGTTAACTCTCTCTGATATACATTGTAAGCATAAGAAGTCATGAATATTTGAATTGCATGTTTTCTATAAGTACGTTCAGAAAGTGTGTTCTGTTTCAGACACTGTTTACCTAAAAAGATCTCCTAATGTCTATGCATCTGGCCCTGTCCAGGGATGATAGTCTCATGCAGAATTTGGCCGTACCTGTGGTAGACGCCCCATGGAGGGACTCTTAACCTGGCCCTGTGGGGTGGGTGTGTTGTTCATTTACTGTGGTAGCAAGGAAGGATACACCTCTGTAGATGTTTCCACAGCCTTATCCCCAAATTCCATCAACTTTGTGTACAACTTGCCAGGTAATAAGTGGAGTTTTAGTTCCAGGGGTTCTTTTGTGTCCGTGATTGGTTGTTTTCTTCATGCAAATGGCACATGCATGGAGCCCAGCTTGGTGCATTCTTACCTCTTTCAGCACTCACATGCAGGACCTCCAGGAGGTGACCCAGGACCTTCACTATGAGAACTTCCGTTCTGAGAGGCTCAAAAGGGGCGGCAGGTGAGACTATCCCTCTCTGTCCATATTTGTCACCCCAAGTCACACTGTCCTGTATGTGTTCAGCTCTTCTTCCTTGACCTCAGAACAATATGATTTGATTTTCTACTCGAGCTATTATAAGCTACTTGTTGCTAATTTAATCAAATTGTGCCCCTTTTTGCCTGTTAAAGGCAGTTTTAATCATCTGCACGGACAGAACAGCTTTAAATGGAAAGGCCATATACATGTGGTCGGTACTTTCTCAAGAGTGTCAGTCTGTCTATAAATGAGGACAGACTCACATTAAGAAAGTACAGCACCCCAAGGGTTAAGGTGGGAGCAGCAGGTCTACTCCTCAGCGCACATGGCCACCCTCACTCATCTGTTTACTATCCTCAAGGGTTTTTAATTGAGACCTGATTCATGTCTGATGAAATCACATCTGTGCATAGAGCTTAATAAATAAGTAATGTACAGCATTCAGTAAAATAATTTTCTGAATTGTAGTTCACTAAAATATTCACATTTTTAAAATTTGATAGATATGTGCATATATACAAAGTGTACATTAAAGTCTACTTTATTGTTTTATTAATGTGGGGTCTAGACACTAAGAAAGGTAGAAGCAACAAGGAGGTCCCATTGAGGAGCAGACAACCAGGCAATGGACTAGGCCAGTGGTCGGCAAACTCATTAGTCAACAGAGCCAAATATCAACAGTACAATGATTGAAATTTCTTTTGAGAGCCAAATTTTTTTAAACTTAAACTATATAGGTAGGTACATTGTTATTAACTTAATTAGGGTACTCCTAAGGCTTAGGAAGAGCCACACTCAAGGGGCCAAAGAGCCGCATGTGGCTCGCGAGCCGCAGTTTGCCGACCACGGGTAGGCCAGCCTTAGCATATTAGAAGCTGTGTCTTCATGAGCTGGGGCTTCTGTACTGGCCCCCTCTGCTTAGACCCCAGAGCCTGTTCCTTATTTTCAGTGTGATGGACATAGTCTGTGTTTATAAAGAATAACTCAAAAAAGTATTCTTCAGGAAGTAGCTGCTGTATTTTTAGTAGATAACGATGGAAGTGTCATCATCCCAGCTTAGAGTATCTCTTGTATTTTCCATTTCATGTTGTTCTTTTTTCATCATCATTCATTCATGTCATTAATTAGGAAAATGATAAATATATGTAATTTTAAGTAGATACATGTCTGAGGAATGTAAAGTGAAATGTTACTTTGGTTATCTGTCATCAGAAATAACCAACTTATATTTGTTGCCGTATTATAATTGTAATTTTTTTCAACTCTTAGAAAGGTGGAAAATGAGGACATGAATAAAGATCAGATCTTGCTGGAAAAGGAAGCTGAGGTAAGTAGAAAAGTATTACTTTTAAATCTAAAGCTGTTTAGTTTATATCAAGAATACTATTTATAATTAGCTTATTATAGCTTCCCTTATTTTTAAGAAGGAATATATTTCATGTAGCTAATGTACTTCATATACCCATCAATATATAATAATATGCCTATTGTTTTACATGTATTATCTCATTTAATTTCCGATCACAATTTAGGGAAAAAACTTGGAACCAATGAGAATTTAGTAACATGACTGATTTTGTAATATGTTCATAAATCAGCTTTCCTATACATAGGTAATAACCGATTAGAAAATATAATGAGAAACTGCTATTCACAATCATTAACAAATTTACGGAGAAATATATAGGACTTACGTGGGGAAAGAAACTAGAAAACTACTGACAATTTTCAAAATTTTAATAGAGACACAACTTTTTAGGATGCTTAATACAAAGATCACAGTTTTCTCTAAATTTAATGCAATCCCAGCAGACTTGTGTGTGCTTATCAAGTTTTTACTTTGAGGGAAGAGGTTGATAACATAATTGTAATGTTTCTTTTGAAGACTAAGCAGGGGAAACACAGGACGCTGTAGGAAATAGACTAATGAGAAGAGGTTGGCTTTGGTGGTTACAGAGAAGTCAGAGAACAGTGGTCACCCTGAGAAGTTGGTCCAGGTGTGGGAGGTTGATTCAGTACATGTCAGGAACTAGGTCAGAAGGATGGAAATGTGCTCTGACAAAGCTGGCTTTGAGGTTTGTTGAATTGTGGGATCCAGACATACTCAGTAAGTAATCCCAGAACAGGGCAGCCTTTTGGAAACAAAAATAAGACTCACTTCTTTGGCCAAATAAATTCAATATAGAGCAAATATTTAAATATTAAAAACATAACCAAGCCCTGGCCGGTGTGGCTCAATTGGTTGGGTGGCATCCTGCTCATGGGAAGGTTGCCTGTTCAATTCTCCATCAGGGCACATGCCCAGGTTGTGGCTCCATTCCCCAATGAGCATGAGGTGTGCATGAGGCAGCCAATCGATGTTTCACTCTCACATTAATGTTTCTTTCTCTCCCTCTTCCTTCCTCTCTAAAAAATCAATTAAAATATTTTTTAAATAACATAACTAAAAAGTTACCTGAAGAAAACTTAGGTAAATAATTTATAATCCTTGTAAACCTTGAGGTCTTTTAAACATGTAGAAACCACACTGGTAGAATGGATAGGGATAGTGGAGGATGCACATTCTCCAGGGGAGTGACAGGGCTGTCCCATGGCCTGGGCTCACATTCTCCACTGGGTAGCCCCAGTCTCTTTCCCACCTTTTAGGTTTAAAAAATCTCTCATTGTCTTTATTTTGTTTACTCATTTCTTTTTTATACTTGAATTGCATGTTCTTACCATTTGCTCAGTTCTCTATTGAGTTGTTGCTCATTCTACTGGTTTGTAAAAGTTCTTTGTTAATTCTTTGTCTTGTGTTGGGTAAGCGTAGAAGTTAATATTAGGCCTCCCAGGACACCCATAAAGAATAAGGGCTAGCAGACCCTGCACACAGTGATGTGTCCCTGTCTTGTGCCCACAGCTCCGCCGCATGCAGGAGATGATCGCCAGGATGCAGGCACAGATGCAGCTGCAGATGCAGGGCGGAGACGGTGACGGCGCAGTTCACGGGCACCACGTGTGAGGTAGTGAGCCCAGGAGCAGCTTTGTTACTGACTCAGCTCGAACATAAGGGCAGGTGCCGCTGCCTCCTCAGGTTTTACTAACAGTTGACATTCGGAAGCTCTGTATTTAAAGGGAGAGGGTTGCTCCTAAAAAAGGAAGCTTCTCTTTCACTCATGTCTAGGAAAGATTTTTCATATTTTCCAAGCTTATAAATATGATTAACAATACAAGAAAAACTATATTAAAGTAACTTTTATTAGTTAGGGTTAGTAGTTAATTAAAGCTGGAAATATCTCTTCAAAGAGAATTTTAAGTGTTAAATAGCTTATGTAGACCAAAAACAAAGCTGGTAAAACAGGTGAATTATTCCTGGTGGGCAGGGTTACCCTGATAGAGATTGCTGACCTCCCTCTTCCTCACCACAGCTCTGCTCCAACCCATGGTAATAGTGATTCAGTAGGTGTCTGGCCTCCCTGCTTGAAGGGACTCCACAGACTGGGGACCCAGACCTGTGTGCTCTAGATAGGTGGGCATTCAGAGCTGTTTAGTGGCTGTTGCATCACCTCAAGAGAAAGAAGGAAGCAGTCACATGGAGTTAGGTAGAGGCAATTCCTGTCCTCAGAAGAAAGATGACCGACGCTGGACAGAGTGTGAGCTGGCTCAGGTCTGAGGAGAAGCTGGATGGCAAGGACAGCATCTGCACTGCACATTAGGGACCTCACTGTAGAAGCATGAGGGTGTTGATGAAAACCCCCTCAGGGTATAATGACAGGAATGTCTTGGGCTTAGCTGACACATGGCATAATTGATGAGATAAAAGGCAAGGAGTCCTCCATGACAGACAGACTGGTGATAAAGGAAGAACCTAGAGCATAACCAGAGGCATTGGTCACCAAACAAAGCTCTTGCCCTCGTGTGTTTTATTGGGAAAGGTTTTAGTTATGAAATAGATTCACCAAAAAACACAAGTACAGTTGTCCTATATAAGTAGTTACTGTCCTGAGACCGACCATGTAACTCCACCTGGGTCAGAGTTGGTTGAAACCTTAGCACAGTCCCAGGGTATATGCTGAGTTCACACTTTGCCAATAAGGACATTGCTGCTCTGCGAGCATTTAAGATTATTTGCCTGCAGTCATATAACTAGTGACGTCAGAGGCTGATTCTGCATGTGCAAGTTAGCACCCACTGGCTACGTGAGGGTAAAGCAAGTGGAAAGAAGCAAGGACTCTGGAGGCTCTATTAAGGTGGGAGGGGGCAATAAATGTTTGCTGGGTTCCTCTGACCTTACTGCTGCTCTTTTTAAAACTTTAATTATGGAATTAGGGAAATTCTACTTTAGGTACATAAAATGGATTTATATTTTTGTATACTTTTCAGTTTTGCAGTCCTAATTTCCTGGAGCCTCATAAGTTATATTTTGATTTTGCTAACTCTGTCGTTAACAGAAAAAGCATGCTATTAATGGTCAAACCAGCAGGCATTGCATCCCTCCCATTTAAACGTGTTGTTTTCTTTTTTCAGAAAACGTTTTGCAAGATAAAGAAAGTATTCCAAATGAGAAATACAGCTCTGTGTTTTCAAGAAATTGTTGGAGAAGTGAGCATTCACACTTTACAGTGCCTGTGGCCCAAGAATTTAATTTTTAAAAAAATTGTTGATGTGTTCTTTTGTATGAAGTACTTTTAACATTTATATTCATTACTAGAGGGTAGACTTTATATTTTGTGAGTGAACTTTGCATTTTCATTTTCTTTCACCTTAACTAACCACTAATGTTAGATTTCATTTCCAGGGATCAGTCGGCATGTATGTTAAAATGATTTGACTGACTGGCCTAACCAACTAGTCATGGAGGAGCACTCTTGATTTGTTATTTACCCCAAATATTCTGAGTGGTAGAGATACGCATCTAATGACATAGAAGGTACCCGGCCATTTACTTACCTGGAGCACCATGTGGAGATTCTTCCCTGCCTTCCTTTCTGTTTGATCACAATACCCAAGACCAGTTTTGCTGCTACAATACAATACCGTTAATTCATCTGCACATTCATCTGTTTACCAAATGAAAAATAATTATGTAATGAGATATATGCTTATACTTAAGTAGCTTTCTTTTAAAAACAGGCTTTTAGGGGTAAATTTTAGAAATTTCTACATTCTTATACTAGGTCATTTTTTAAACCACTGGGCAGGGAGAACTTGTTACAGCCACTTTTTATAGTGTTTTCCACTAATACTGGTTATACTCTGCTATGGAAAAAGTCAGAGTATCCATGAGCTCCAGTTTTCATATTGCAACTAAGATTCTTAACAACACAATGAAAGTCAATAAACTATTTTTACTCCACTAAGTCAACTTTTTAAAGAAAATTAGCAGTTGATCTGTTCAGAAACTGACCTTTTGTATTTTTATACTGCACTTTAATATATTTCTGTAACTAAAGGTGTAGAAGATCTGCCTCAGGAGTGGAAATGGGGTCCTTTGGTGGGTGCCAAACCTAGATTTGGCTTTCCTTTAATTCTTTTTTGAATGGTTTTCTGAAGAGAGGCAAATCGCAGTAGTTATTATTTTTTTTTATGTGTGTGTGGACTGTGTTGCCTATTTTTAGCCATCGTCATTTCCTTCGTTACGTGTAATACAAATTGCTCCATGTATCATGTAAGAATGAAAAACACTTCAAAACTACACCATGGGCCATTTGCAGGTACTGCCAGTCAAAGCCGCTCCTGGTGGGTTCTCTGTGCTCTGTGGCCTTGGCCCTTCCGTTCCCTCCTGGAATGTCTTCATCCTCCACTGTGGCACTCACGCTCTGCACTCCCAGGGTGCTGATGCTCCAAGGCCTGCTTTTATTCAACATTTCTACTGAAGTTGAAAAAGAAAGTGACAGATGAAAGGAGACCTGGAGGGAGCAGGTGCTGGTTCACTATTTTCATTTTGCTATAACAGGAGGGGTTAAAATAGAGAAAATGCTTAATCTGAGAATGAAGAGGGTTTTTTGGTTTTGGTCAAAAAATAACATGAGGTCAAAATATGTTAGTTACAAAAGTGTACTACAGAAAATAATACGGTATTTTTGCTAACTTGGCCCCTCACTGTTAACTATTGTGAATGGTCAAAACCTTTAGGTTTAGGCATATTTTGCAAAGTTTTCAACAAGAAAAGGTGTTCCATAACTTGAGAGTACCATCAAGGCCAATTACTTGGGTTATTTTGGTACTTATTAACTGCTAATAAAAGCTGTTTAAAGGGAGGCAGGGGGACATTTGCAAGTGATCTGTGTAAGCTTGTGTGTGTTTGAGTAAAACTATTTGGGGCTGACTGCACCTAGTAATGGTTATGTGAGATGGGTGGACCTACACCTTTATACTTTTAAATCTTTTTTTTCCCGTTGCTCAAACTGAAATAGTTTTGCTACTAGATAACTGTTCTTTTACTAAGCCATACTCTTTACCTATAGAATTGTTATTTTGAAAAAATTTTACACAGCCATTTTGTATCCATTGAAAGTAACCTTTCATCAATAAAGCACTATTGTTTAGAGGTTAAAGTAGTACTCCTCATTATTGTTTCTTTCCCAGGGAAAGGTGTAAGGTCTTCTGGGAAAGGTTCAAAGCCCTTAAAATGTGTGTCTAAAGTCAGGTAAATTACTTGCATCGATAGCATCAGCAGTCAGCAATTTTGTATTGGCAATCCAGTCCCAAAGAAAAGCCATAAAGACTGGAAAAGGAATTATTTACAGATGATCTGATCACCTACATAAAGTGAAAGAATGTCTGATAGACAGCACTAGTAAGAGTTCAATGATGTCTACTCACTAATAAATTTTACTTAGGACTCTGGCCAGGTAGCTATTTCAGTTTGTTAGAGCATCCTCCTGATGCACCAAGGTTGCAGGCTCAATCCTTGGTCAGGGTACATACAAAAATCAACCAATGAATGTATCAATAGTAGGCAAGCAAATCGATGTTTCTCTAAAGTCAGTAAGTATTTTACAAAAATTTTTAGTGATAAAAATCTCATTCACTGTGGCAGCAGCTACTAAATACCTGGAAGTACAATGAATGACAAATAGAAACCATATCTATTCTGAATATTACTAAGATCAGTAGGAAAGTTCCTTTTCAATTCACCTGGACTGTAAGGCTGATCTGGAGGTCTGGACAGCACTCGCTGTCCCACTGAGTAGTGAAGCTCCCGCTGTCTCTAGTTCCTTCTCTGTCCCCTGTGGTAGCCAGCATGCAAGCTGCAGCCTCCACAGGGTCACCCGCCCTCTAACCAGACTCCAGTTTGCAGTCCCCCATGGCGCTATGCACCTCTTGTGCGGGTGGGGTTAGTGGGGGCTTTGCGTCACCCTAGGGGCAGTGAGTGCAGCCGCTGGGGGTACTGACGTGGGGGCTGGCGGTGGTGTCACTGGGGGCCGTTAAGAGGGAAGTCCCAGAGGGAGCGGTGGAGGGCTTGGGGGGTCAGGAGGAGGGAGGGTCTCTGCCGTGCCTGGAACCTGAGCCTCCCCTACCGGGAGCGACGCTTACTCCCATCTCGGCTTTTCGGAAACGAGGTATCTGGCATGGCTCAGGAGTCGGGAGCACTGTAGAAGTCGCCTCGAGGACGACCCCAGTCGGTTTTGGAGTAATCCCCGCGGATAAAGCCGCGGTGCCAGGACCACACCCATCTCGGAGGGCACTTTGGGCGTGGCCCTGAAGGGTGGGTGCGCAGTTCATTCACCGAGCCTCTGGAGGAGAAGGAGTATGTGCTCCTGCGAGCCGGGAGGGGGCGGTGATGTCACATTTCCATGCTTGGGTCGGGGTCGGGGAGCAGGAGTGGTCCTCAAAGGCTGAAAGGCCGCGGTTCTCCTCCAAGAGGAATGCATCTTCGCCGCATCACATCCTCCTGTTGCACTCGGTGCCCTTAGTCTATGGTCTCGGTAGCCCCAGGAGAGCAATGGGTGGAATTTAAGAAGGATGGCTCCGCCGGTGGCGGAGGGAGCCTCCCCGCCCAGGCCCAAGTCCAGGCCCCGCCCAGGACAGAGTACGGGTTCCGCCCAGCGAGCCCGAGGCTCCGCTCCCTAGTCGAAGCCACGCCCAGGACAGAGTCCAGCTTAGAGAGCCGAGTTTCTGATGATTTGCATTAGAATCCACAGGAGCCCCTCCGCCTCCCCGCCCACTCCAGGCCCGTTCACCAATCAGAATTCAATGCCGCGCCTAGACAAGCCAATCGGAGGCGTGTCCGCGGGGGAGGGGGTGGGGCTCCGGGCTGGGGCGGGGGCGCGGCGCGCCCCGCGGGCAGTCGGGAGCGGGCGGAGCCGGCGGAGGACCGGAGGCCGCTGGTGGAGACTGCACGGGCTCTCTGGCGGGTGAGGACTCGGGGCTGCAAGGACGCGGGGGCGGGCGGCGGAAGCCGAAGGCCGAGTGTCTGGGCAGGGCGTGCGTATGTACCGCGGCGTTTCGGGCGCCTCAGACAGCGGTCCACCGGAGGAGTCCACGCCCGCGCTCGCGAGGCCTTCTAGGATGGCGGGCCCCGTGAGAAGAGGGCCATGTGTGGGGAGCCCACCGCCTGAGGCCTGTGGTGCCCCGGGAGGGCCCCGCGTGGAGCCCGTGGGTGGGCGGGGCGGAGAGTGTCCCGTGGTGTGACGGTAGTGCCCAACGTGGAGTCTCCGGTGTGCCCCGCGTGGAGGCCCCGGGGGCGGGTGGGACGGAGAGTCCCCGCGCGGAGGCCCAGATGTGCACTGTGGAGGCCTGCGCAGAGCCACAGGTGGCAGCTCCCCTGGTTGGCGTGGACCAGGCCCTTCTTGGCCTTTCCTCATATTGTATCTTAAAGGGAGGAATTCGGCGTTAGGTATTAAAGTTTTTACTCCACTAAGGTCTGGAAATACTGTCCTCCTAAGGCAGTGGGGCACTTTCTAAAGGAAAACCATGAAGGGTGGGACCAGGATATGGTCCAGTCCATCACACAAACATCTTTTTCATTGACCCTGGTCCTAGTCAGAAATGGCTGTGAAAAAACAAAACAGGCATGTTGATGGGAGTAACGTCAGTACGTAATGTAAAGAAAAAAATGGGAAGACTTAAGACCCAGGGCTAAATCTTTAGAGGGTGGTTTTCTTTCTACCTTCGTTTTGTTTGTTTCCATGAGGTATCTTTGGCTGGACCACTATGGAAATGTTTGATAACCATCAGGTGGCCCTGGGTTAGAGTGTAGACTGTGTTGCAACAGAGGACACAGATTTTCTCGATGCCAGCGAGATGGGAGAAGACATTTGAGGTAGCACCATGGAGTGACCTTTACTTGTAGACCAAATATAATTTTAATTTTCTGTATCTGGTATTTTTTGAAAATTTTTTCTGAGTTCCTGGACACCGGAAGACATAATTCTGTGTTGAGTTGTGAATCGTGTCATGCTGGTGGTTCTGTTTGGTTCTTTCAAATCTGCAGAGATGTGGCCAGTTTGCATGGCACCGTTTTAAAGGAGAGGCACTGGAGTAATTGGTATGGTCCCCGCCCCATTTACTGCACATTCATGGCCCAGGTTGCATGGATGTGCATCCTCCTGAACTGCACAAGTTTGGGCTCATTTACATGAACATCTTTTCGTCATGGACTTCCAAGTTCTTTCTTTACTAATTCCTTTCCCAAAGAAGTTTATATGGCATTAATTCATTGCTGCCTCAACAAGGTTCCTTGTTGATAAAATGGGGTTAAAATTTACCTCAGAGGGTTGTTGTGAGGACTAATAGGATAGCTGCTAGCAAGATGCCTGGTACGCAGTCAGTGCTTAATAAATGTTAGCCATTCTGTTCTCAGGTGAAAGATTAGTCTGAGTAGACAGTAGACAGTGAGAAGTGGACAGGATTTAAGCAGTTATTCTGCATGGAGGGAAGGATATACACTGGATTGACAAAGCAAAGACTGATGCAGGAATAATTCTATGCAAGTTCTTTAAACCCATATAGCCACAAGGAATTCTGTCCTTCTTTTTAAACACTCCTACCATAGTCACATCAACACCTCTATACTCAGACAGTAAGAAGTCTTTCTTATTGCTGCTTCCCCTTTCAGGTTTGTTTGCATTTTTCCTTTACCCGCTTTCTTATCAGCTTACCAATGGCTCATGAGCTTCCTGCACACAGCATAGTGTTAGGTATGCAGGAAAACCGCAGTCACTCCAGGCTTTACCTTGGCAGCAGACTAAAAAAGGTGAGGGTTCCACAAAACTTAATATGAAAAAATCCCAGTGTTTTGTGAGTTTCTGGGGAGCAGTTACATTGGTGGTGATTCTGTAAATCTAATCTTTTTGGAGAGCAACTGGCAGTATGTGATAAAGACTGTGATTTTGGAATTCCAGTTTTTAAAACAAATTCCAATATGCATGGAATAGCACTCCACAGCCAATAAGCATGTTCTGGCAACCCCATTCTTGTCCTTCCCTCCCAAAAAAATTGAAATGTGTTCAAAAACATGGCTTAACCCAAAAGGCAAAACTGTGTACACAGCAATTATATGTTGTAAAAATACGTGAAGACGACAAGGATCAGAAGTGAAATTAGAATGATATAAGTAGTTTTATTTAGAGTCATAGGATTGTTTTACCCCTAAACTGGTATTTGGTTTATAGCCATTTTAAAATTCAAATGCAAAATGTTACTATGATGTTGTAGGATGCAGTGATGACTCTTTCTTCAGCCCATCTCTCCCAGCTTATTCTCCTCATTGTTTCCCAGCTATAGACCTCAAATAGGTGTGAAATTGCATCCAGACCTCTTAGGTTGGGCCATGACACCCTCACTGCCCAGCCCGCCATGGGCATCCTTGGGGCCCCAGCCACACACAGCCTTCCATTTTTACCCAGCAGTCCCATGCCTGTGCACACTGTTCTTTGTCCAGCTGGTCTCCTGTCACCTGCAAGGCCCAACTCCAACTTCAGGCCTGGGAAGCCTCTCTGGGTCAGGCTAGCAGCACTCTCTTCCTTGATGTTACCTTGTACTTTCTGCTCTCTGGTACTACAGTGTGGAGGTGCTCTTGGCCATTACATGGTTGTCTCCCCTTATAGATCTTTGTGTCCCTGTGCTAGTCATCTGGGTCCTTCAAAGCAGAGAGGAGACAGTACACCATGGAATTGGGGTTGGGTGACTTGCAGAGCTGAGTGACCACGAGCAAGTCACTAACCCTTCTGCACCTTGGTCTGTAAATGGGATCCTGAGGATCAAATGCGATGACATGGAGGAGGGTGTGGCATGGGCTCCTAGCAATGGCGGTCACTCGGGATGTGGTGGCTCTTGGAATATGCACCAGGACCTTCTTTAAGCCTGATGCAGGTGCTGTCTTCTTATTGAGGCCTTCCCCCTCCCTCTCCACCTGTCACATCCCATCTGCTGTCCTTACTTGACATTCTCCATGGACTTACCACCATTTAGCACACTCTCCTCTTTATAGTCTTCCACTATAATGAAAGGGATTTTTCTCTCTCTTGTAAAGTCCCGTGTCCTTAAGTACTTAGACTTGCTTGATACACACTGGGTGCTCAATAAAATTAATTAGATTTCATTTGGGGCA